GCGGCGGGGCGCGGCCGCCGGAGCCACGGTGCCTCGTTTAGCGGTCACACAAGGGGGAAACCAGGGTAGGAGCCCAGGAGCGGCCCCAGCCTCGCAAGGACCAAAGTGAATCACAGAATCATTTGGTTGGAAAAGACCTTGAAGATCATCAAGTCCAACCGTACCTGTCCACCACTAAACCCTGTCCCTAAGCACCTCGTCTACCCATCTTTTAAATATCTCCAGGGATGGGGACTCGACCACTTCCCTGGGCAGCCCATTCCAGAGCCTGACAACCCTTTCAGTGAAGAAATTTTTCCTAATAACTAAACTAAACCTCCCCTGATGCAACTTGAGGCCATTTCTTCTTATCCTATTGCTTTTTACTTGGGATGTGGAACTTCATCCATATGGAACTTTAAAGAGGGGTTGTTAGATTTTGACAAAGCCTGCAAGGCTGAAGACAGAAACATTATTTGATCCTTGAACATCTTTCTCTCTAGCCTCCTCACTTGATCAAATATCTAAAAATGAGAGTCAGCAGCTAATCTAATCTGTTCCTGAACAGATCCTAAATACAATGTCAGTGATGGCAGATAAATCTCCCAAGCTAGCTGGAGTTCCCACAGCTGAGCTATGGCACGGTGGTTTGACTAGGAAACGTCCCTTCTCCCACTTTTCTGCTCTTCCCTATCTCCCTACTTCAATGTACCTGGAAAGCTCCGTACTCAGAATGGCTCCCTACCACCACTGCTCTTCTGGCAAGCTCTTTGTTGCACCCTTCTTCACTGAGTGTCTCCCACCAGGCTGCTTCTCCTGGTGTGTCTGCTGCCTACAGCACCATGAGGTGATGGCAAGGACAGAATCACAGAATTGCAAGGGTTGGAAGGGACCTCAGGAGATCATCTAGTGTAAATGCTACCCCGTGGTCGTACTCGGAGAGCACCAGACACACCGTCTGACAGAGGCTCGATGGGTCTTCTCACCGCTGTTGAACTGATGATGAGCCACAGGCTTCCAGAGCATAATCCTCCCGCGTGCTGTGTTCTCCTTTAATGCCACACATCTCCAGGGCTTCCTATAGCAAACCGCGCTGCCAGGGGACCCTTCCGTCCCGCAGGGACCCACAGCCACAGCCAGCACTTTCCCCAAGGTGCACATTAACAAACTGCCAATGCGGCCGGCGGGACGCGCGGCTGCCTTTCTCCCCAGATCTCACCATTTGATCACGTCTGGTAGATCATCGTTCAGCTCAAGCCAATGCCTCTCAGGCTGTGACCAGATCTGCCTCTGCCAGCAGCGATCCACCCCCCGAGCTGCACCCGGGGAGGCTTTCTGAGCGCTCGGGCGTTTGGGAGCGGCCTCTGCAGCCGGCACCCTGGCAATTTGTCCTACGTTGGGCTTCGCTCACGCTTTTGAGCTCAGGAAGCAAAGTGTTATCAAGTGCTTCTGAAGTGGCGGTGGCCCTTGAGCTGAGAACCAGAGCACTTCAACAGGCCTTTATTCCCTCGCACAGATCTGTCGAGCTCTTCTCAAAGGACTAACCGATTGCAGATGCTGTTTATTCAATTAAAAAAAGTAACCTTGTCTCTAGCTTTCAGAGAAATTTGTACAAAAAGTGCTGCTTTCTGCCTTGCTCCCAACAGCGCGTCCAGGTGTTTTGTCCCTGTAAAAAGCAGAAAGGCCTGGATTTGGGATCAAGACTTGGGGAGAGTGAATTCTGTGAGGTTTTGGGCTCTCTGCCTGTTTGCAGTTTGCTCCAGGAGCTGCCTTTGCTGGTCTGCTGCCTATCCAGCGTGACCTGGGGAACAGTTCAGGTAGCCCGTGGTTATCCACTGGTTATCCACAAACGGCTGCACCCACCCTGTGAGCGCTCGGTCTCCAAACCCGCAGAGCCCTCCGGCTGACTGCACAGGGCAGGCTGCAGGCTCTTGCAGGAATTCACGTTCACAGTTTAATATCGGCTTTCCCTTGGTCTTGCAAAGCAAGCTGCACTCTCCCGAACGTCTGGAGGGAAGGACTCCCTGCAGCACATTTCTTTGAATTCTTCATGACAATTGCCCAGCTCTACTCATTATTTGAGTGTTGCGCCAGGAGACCGGGAGCGATGTCCACGCCAGCTTCTGCTGCTCTGTTTAATGATGGCAGTGACAACTGCCAGGCTGAGCCTCTCCAAGCGACTGCGCCTCCCCGAGGGAGTGGTGAAACACTTTTCAATAGGCACTTCCCTTGCCCTGTACGTTAGTTGCTCTCCTCAGACTTGCCATGTGTGCTTCTCCATCCTGCGGCCACCCCCAGGCTCTGAAAACAGCGCAGAGCCCACTCGTGGTGCGGGGCTGCAGAGCAGTCCGTGTGCGAGCAAGGGCAGCCCTGCGTCAGCACAGTAAGCCAGAGATTTTAACACCTGACATTCATTATTTTGAAATTTTCAAAGGCCTTTAAAAACCGTGAAGGGTGTTGGAATCCAGGGTGGCTCAGACCCTCCAGGTGCTCGCCAGCCATTAGTCATAGAATCATAGAATCATAGAATCATAGAATCATAGAATCATAGAATCATAGAATCATAGAATCATAGAGTCATAGAATGTTTTGGGTTGAAAGGGACCCCTAGAGGTCATCTAGTCCAACCCCCCTGCAGGAGCAGGGACACCGCTAACTAGATCAGGCTGCTCAGAGCCCCGTCCAACCTGGTCTTGAATGTTTCCAGGGATGGTCGTAACACTCCAGCAGCACACTGGTTTGCAATTGCTGCTCTGTGGACAAAGGTGACAAAACATAGAAGGGTGAAATGGTTTGGACCAA